GGTGCAGCACTATTATTAGCGAATTTCGGCCACATACAGATTGGCCAATGGTAGTCGCTTAATGGGTCGTTTCTAACATACAGATTGACCAAAGGTCCTAATGAGCAGGGGCAAAAAATTGGGGAGGAGCTTGTCTATTCAAGTCAAGTGTGTGTTAATTTTTTCTAATCTTACCAGTCACAGAGGTGGCCAAACTCAAGAGACAAATTTTACTTTTTAAAACACTAAGTTTTATGTAAACTGTTAAGTAAACAAATGAGGTTTTTACGTTCAACTGTAGCTTAAACAAAACAGTGTGGTATTCTAATACAAATAATAGGCTATAAAATCTAACTAATTGCTTATAAACTCACTATCAATTTCTTGTCATGTAGCCTACACAAAGTACATTTTTTGGGAGGTCGAGTTGGTTACGAAGTTATTAGTTTGTTTGACCTAGTTAAAGCAATAAGGATAATGTTACCTTTTAAAAGTCCTGAAGTGTTCTGTCAAGATTCAAAGCATAAGCATTCTCGTGTTTATGTGTATACACATTGTTTGAAAATTACCTCGAATATCTGTCTTAGTATTTCGCACACGATGTTCATTTTTAAGTTCACAAAACCAATCTAGCTATATTCATTATAGGAGTAGTATTTTAACAAAAGTTAAAAAAAGGAAAAAAATATTCCATTGGAAGTGAAATAACCCGAATAAAATGTTCTACCACAGAGTATAAAAATCTACTCACTTATTCAACATTCACTTAAACCAACAGTTAAAATTCTAAACTTCAAATAATTCTTAACATTTTGCCTTAAAATCCTGAAATAAATAATAATTTGTTATTAATATTCAGTCAGCTACATTTTCAGTTGCCGCTAAAAGAAAATAATAACTCCAAATTGGAGGTATTATTCTGTTTGGATGATATCCCGTGAAAGCATATAACCTCGTCATATTAGCTTTTAAAATTGCATAGTTTGTGCTGAATTCTGCTGTCAATCATATGAACTTTTTCAAGTTTACAATGCAATTTTGTTTACATCAAAACATATGTCCATTGTACAATTTTGTTTACATCTATAGGAAAATGGGGGTATCTGTAAGTCGGTGATGTTTAAGTTAAATCAAGAAAATGTTGTATTATATTGTATAAAATGTAAAGAAGAAAATAGTTTACGTTAGATTTTGTGTTTTCATAGTATGTGTCATTAGTATTATTAATCTTTCTAAGTTGCCTTGAAGAGATCCCGCACGCAATGAAAATAATAGAGATATAATGAGACATCATGTTTTCACCCTTATCAACTACAATATATCGTAGTACTAAAATTGTGAAATTTTGTGAGTTTGTTTGTTTGTTTGATATCCAATCACGCATTAACTACTGGTCGGATCGGGTTGAAATTTGGTATGAAGATAGCTCACATTCCCGATTAACATATCTAGACATATTCTTATCCCAAAAATCATTTCGGGCTCTGCCCCAATGGCTCCATAGTTTCCCATGTTAACCTTATGAGTATTTATATTTAAAATTAATTAAAAGATTTTGTCAGCTGTTTCAACTACACAAGTTGGTTCTACGATATTCAAGAGCATTACAGAGACCACCTCTGTATCTAGTAAGATTATAAAACGTTAACAAACAGTTTACTTGAATAGACTAGCTCCTCCCCCACACGGGACATCACTGCTGTAAGCTCCTCCCCATTTTTTGCCCCTGCTCATTAGGACCTTTGGTCAATCTGTATGTTAGAAAAGACCCTCAAACCATTGGCCAATCTGTACGCGCGCCGAATTTCCCTATAGGGAAGTAGCTATTACCGTAGGTCTCATGGTAAGACTTAAGCCCGGGACCGATTTACTTTTTCATTTTGATGTCCCCACAGGCCAAAAACACCATTCGTTTAAATTTTTATATATCTATATATATATATATATATATATGTCCATCCGCACGATAACTTGAGTAATTTTTGTCCGATTTTGATAAAATTTCGTTTGAAGGTGTAAGGCGGGATAAACTTGAATGAGTTCGCGAACCAGCATGATCGGACTATGGGAACGGGGGTTTATGGGGGGTTTTATGGGGTAAAAATAGGGTTTTCCCATTTTTGACCCTAAAAACACAAAATTTCACAATTTCTTTAAAAACCATTTTGTAGAGCTTAAAAAAACAAATAATTTAGTATATTGAAGCGTTATTATGCGCCTAATTGTTACGAAGAAAATTCAAAAAATTGCAATTTTAAAATTTCCATGTTATTCTTACGGAGAATAAGTCAACTGTTGTAGTTTGCTTGTTTATGAACATATCTTGATCAAATTTTGAAAATACATTAATTTCTTACTAAACCACAGTACCTTTTAACATTTTACATAAAAATAACTTTTTACCCTCCCTGTTGCAGCAAACCTAAGAACTCATTAAACTAATTCTGTTTAAATAGTCAATAAATGTGATATTTTTAAGGAGACATTTTAGTTTAAATCCAATCAGGCAAATGGAAATTCGCTAAGTCTCCAGGTTTGCTGCGGCGGGGGTATTTTTTTAATTTATGACAACAGCTAATTTCCAACCAAAAGGTGAGTGAGCGTAGCGAACGAACTTCAACCTGGAGGCGAGTTAGCGTAGCGAACGAGCTAACCTGAAGGCAAGCGAGCGCAGCGAACGAGCTCCAACCTAAAGGTGAGTGAGCGTAGCGAACGAACTTTAACCAGGACGTGAATGAGCCATGCGAATACTTATGAAGTTAAACGGGGCAAAGCCCGCGGGAATATTTTTAGTTTTCTTCTAACATTTATGACAATGAATTGATTATTCCATTTAGATATAAAATTGTTATATATAAATAGATATTATGTTATATATGTCATAATTTTACTGATTTTACCAATATTGGCAATTGTGTAGGATGTAATAGGCTATATGTAAATTAATTATTTCTGAGAGAAAGATTAATAGACAAAAGAATAATAACAAACATCTTATAAATATTTGAAGGGAATTTAATCATTTTCAACCATATCGCACACAACAATTAATTTAATGAAATCTATACATTATTTATTTTAGATAATAGTTTTAAAATAACACCTAAAAGTATCAAATTGTTCTTAAAACAAAGGCATTTTACAAACTGGATATTTTACTATCAATTCTTAAACAAAATATTCAATATTAATTTTGAATTGAGTTTTGAAGATAAAAAAAATATTACAAAGGTAATATATCATTTAAGAAATTGTTACGGTACCAATGATTTTTAGACTATTAGAATCGGATTTTTTTATAAAACCAGATTTTGATACTGATTTTTTAAGATTCTTAAATCATTTATCAACCATTAATAATCCATTTATAACAAATCTGCATAATATTTTTTTCTGAAAACATAAAGGTTACATTAGATATTCATATATTTCAATTATCAAATACATAAAATGTTGATATTCTTGGTTCATCTTATCACACACCAGTTCTAACAATCAGGTGTGTGATTTTTCGAATTAAATTTTTTTTGTAATACATGGATCTGCTAGATGAAATAAATAATATTGGAGAATGTAAATTAAAAGAATATAAACCATTAAAAAGTTTAGAATTAAATACCAAATATAAGATTGGAAAATTTGCAAAAATTAAAGATAAATATGGACCCACAATTATTGTTGAGTTAGAAAAATGGAAAATCATTTGCCTCATAGATTTATTAGCATTTTTCGATGAAAAACAATTAAAGAATTAAATAAAAAAGATTTAAACTTAATTAATTATTACTGATATTAAAACATTTGAAGATAAAGAAACTGTTTTGGTTAGATTTGAATAATTTGAATAAAATTTTGGAATTTTTACTTGTTAAAACATTTTGTTTTGTAGACAATTTTATGGAAATGTAAGCATATTTATAAAGATTTCATCAATATTTTAGGCTTTTTCTGAAAATGTTGAAAATTTGCCTAAAAGAGGAAAAATTGGAACGTATTAGTATTGAAAAAAATCTAATTTCATTAAATTATTGAAGTCTTCCTTTTTTGCGCGAGGAGTGACATGACATTATCTACATTATCTATATGAATTTGAACGGATGGTATTTTTGGCCTCTGGGGACCTCAAAACGAAAAAGTAAATCGGTCCCGGGCCTAGGTCTTACCGTGCCACCCACGGTAACAACTACTTCCCCATAGGGAAATTCGCTAAAGATGATTTTAGTTTAAATCAACCATCCCAATTGTTAACATTATATACCTACCTTCAATCTGTAAGTACACAAACGTAAGATTATATGACATGATACAAATGTTGTCTAGGCCCCTACCTATAACACTCTTTAAAGGGTACATTTTATTACATTAATTCATCCACGTATCTCCACTCTGAGCTCCTCAAAAAATCCAATTTTGATACTTGTGTCCTTGGACTTTGGGAATATGCCCACTTACACACTTATAATAGAGTAAATCCTGGAATTCTGTAAGGTTCTTGGTCTTCGTCCCGAATAACCGATTTTTAAAACCCCCATTTTCCTAATTAATCCCCCTCAAATTTATTTATTTTATTCTAAGCTATTAATATTTTACTACAAACACAATTCATTAACCTCCCTGTAGCAGCAAACCTAGATATTCGTTTAACATAATGTTATTTAAATAGATTTAATCTAAAATCAATTCAGGCAAATGGTAATTCGCATAGAACACGTAAGAAAAACGGGTACTCTGCTAGTCCCCAAGTACCCTAATCCCTGTGAATATGGAAAATTCGCTACGAACAATTTTCACAATAGTGGGTTACTGCCCACTCCCTTCGGGTTAGTGGTTGATCCAACAGTTGATCAATTAAATATTGCCAAGAATTTATAAGGGACAACTAAGGTTGAAGCGTATTCCGTGACCCGTCGACCGCGGCCCGTGTCTGACCCATGACGTGGCGGGGTGGTGTGGAGGGGAGGGGGTCAGGTGAGGCACACACTGCGCAGTCGTAGACCTAGCCACTGCCCACTGCCCACTTGCCGCGTTTAGTCTCAGCCGTTCAGTGCCGCGCCGCCGCCGCGCAGATTGTGATTCTGTTTCCCGCCTCACTTTCAAAATCGTGACATGACATGAGCTAACGGACATTACGGTGATGAACCCATAGGTGAGTTACAACCATACGCTTGTGTAAGTTATACGTTTGAAACTAGTTCAAAATAATGTATGTCACTGAGATTTTAGATTTCCCATAATCTGAAAAAGTTTGCAATTGAACCTCTGTCAGTAAATTAGCATCTAGGCCCCATAATAATTAATCCATCCTGACATGAACATTGTCTGGTAACTTATTGTGAATGTAACAATGTAGTTTATTTCAAACGAATCGTGTTTAATGTGAAATTTAAGATATAATCTTATTTCACATGAACCCTAAAAAATTTTAAAAAGTGGTTCATAGGATCAAAACTAGAAATAAATGTCCTATAAGTATAGTTTCTAAGCTCACTCGTTTTCTATTTATACGTAAAATAGGTTTTTTTTGTTTTCAGTATATCTGTTTGAACACTTTGATATCTAATTGAAAAAAAAAACAATAAGATATTTTGATTTAAAAATGCATTGTTAGATAGAATATTAAATTTAAAAGAGATTAAATTACTATTTTGTGTACATGTTTAGTATGACTGAGACAACGAATTAAAAAACTAATATTTCAAAAAAAATCAAGATTCAACAATTATTTTTCGTTTTTGACAACTCTTTATCTTTTACCTATTTATTCAAGCTGTTTGCTTACAAGTTTGCCAAAAGTTGTAGAATTTAATGGGGGACAAGGAAATGTGAATTTTTGTCCATATATTTACACTAGGCCTTTACATTTATTTGTATAGATTTTATGGGGATAATTTTTTTCCATATCCAGAAATATTGTAAAGTATATCAAAAGCTAGTTAAATTAAGCTACATAAACAAACTGTAAAACAAATAAACTATATTTAGCTTATTTTTTAACACATCTTAATAAAAGTTGATAGCCTACATTGCTTATCCTAGTTGAGAAGTGTTGTAGGCCTCGTATAATGGCCTAAAATGCCCTTCTTTTTTCATTTTTAATGGTATAAAACAAGCATACTCAGTTCACTTTCCTATGTTAAGCTTGTTGGGGATAATAAAATACGATAGCTTGCATATATTTCCTGAACGTATCTTATTCATATAACATGGTATATGACTTGTTTTAGCTGAGGACTAAAGCTGAGGATCCATTATGGCCTCAAATCTCTGCTAGGTCAATGCTAGAAAGGTTACAGTTTGAAAGGCTGCAAAAATAAAGAAATATCTTTTTTCCTACAGTTACTTGACAAAATGGGCTTCCTTGCTCTGATTTTTGCATACAAAGTAGTTAATTTTGCTGCATTTACTTCTTTTTGCCGCACTCCAGATGTCCAGTATTCCAACCAAACAAAGCAAAACATTGTGCTTTTATTAGTCACGTAATACGTGTACGATTAAAAATAAGTTGGCAACACTTGAAGATACTGTTGAGTCGACTGTCGTATTAATTATCTTGACTTACTACGAAATGCTGCACCAGCTGAACGTAGTCGTTACGATCACCTGGTGCAGCGTTTCCCATTTCGGAGTTAACCTAACCTAAAAACGTGTTGTATAGTGTTTGAAAGACATATATTTATTTGTTTTATAGTAACTGTAGGAAAAACTATAACGCGTAACGTGGAGCACTAGCTACCCAAATAATGAGTAATCTTGTTTTTTTTTTTTCTAGAAAAAAATTGTGTTTAAAAAATGTGTTTAGCACACTCAATATTTCTGCACAAAGTATAAATGAAATCTCACTGAAATGTTATATTCTATCCAATTACAAAAAAGCTTTTTGAAAAATATCGTAGCAATTTTGTTATAAACGTCGACCATTAGACTAACTAAATTTTAGAAAAACTAAACAGGTTTCAGAGCAACAGAAATGTTAAACTAGAGATTTCATAACATAATCTGTAGTCCTCAACTAAAATTAGTCATGTACCAAGTGTTAATCAAATATGCTCAGAAATATGTGAGCTATCGTATTCGATTTTTCCTCAAAACGATAGCATAGGAAAGTGGATATGCTTGTTTTCTACCAATGAAAATGATAAAGAAGGGAATTTTAGGCCATAATACAATGCTTCTCAACTTGATAAATTCATAATAAAAAAAAACTATTAAATAAAAAAAGTTTATATTTTTCCTTGTTCCCCATTAAATTCTACAAACTTTGTTAAAGTCGTAAGGAAAAGGCTTGAATAGTTAGGTACAAAATAAAGAGCTGTCAAAACCAAAAATAATTGTTGAATCTAGATTTTTTAGTAAATATTTTTTACTCCTATTCTCAGTCATACTCAACATGTACACAAAATAGTAATGAAATCTGTTTGAAATTTAATATTCTATCAAACAAAGCATTTAAAAAAATCAAAATATCGTGCAATTTTTCAATCTGGATGTCAAAGTGTTCAACAGATACTAGATACACTGAAAACAAAAAAAAACCTATTTTACATATAAATAGAAAATACCTCCGTCGCAGCAAACCTGCAGACTAAGCAAATTTCAACTTGTCTGATTACAATTTTACAAAAATATTTCCATAAATAAGACCTATTTATTCCCAATTTAAAAAACATTACATTTAACGAGTGCTTAGGTTTGCTGCTACGGGGAAGGTAAAAAGTGTTTTTGACGAAACGTCAATATTAGGCCTATAGGATGAAGTAAATACATTTACCAAATTTTATCAACATATATCCATAAATAAGTAAACTACAACAGTTTTAATTTCCTCCATAAGAATAACTTGGAAATTTTAAATTACACTTGTTTTGAATTTTTTTCGTAATCGTTAGGCATACAACAGTGCTTCAATATACAAAATTATTTATTTTTTAGCTCTACAAAATGGTTTGGAAAGAAATTGCAAAATTTATGTTTTTAGGGTTAAAAATGGGAAACCCCCATTTTGACCCCATAGACCCCCGTTCCCAGAGTCCGATCATGCTGATTCGTTAACTCGTTTGAATTAACGTAGGTTTACACGTTTATACCAAATTTTATCAAAATCGGATCATTTTTGCTTGAGTTATCGTGCTAACGGACACACACACATATACAGGGTGATTGTTACTCACAATGACAAAAGTGTGACAAACTACACGACACTCTTAGCGGTGGGTGCCGGAACATATGCTAACCGCAGTACTGCTGCCGGTCTATATTTATTTATTCTATTTGTCTATGGTGTTACTGATTGTTGCTGATTCTCATCATCCTCGCTGTGCAGGGAAATACTTGGGTGTTACTGATTGTAACTGATTCTCAAACTCCTCACTATGCAGAGAGATGCTATTGTGTTGCTTTTATGATTGATTCTCGCTCTTTATTGAAGGAGCGCGCTAGTATAAAGTAAAATCTCGTTCTCAACTAGCTCACATTTGATTGCATTACCGTGATGATGCAGGTAGGTTACACGGGACGGGATGGTCTGACCGGTTCCTGCTGGAGCCCCGAGGCCGCACGAGCCAGATCTGGGCCAGAGTCTTCCTGTGTGGCACACATCCTGCTTTAAACTAATCATAATCGTAATAGGTATATGTATGTAATCACACAGATCTGCCTTTAGTGATCTATGCTCGTGCATTATTTATTTTTTTTGTTTATATCCCAGAAGATCTCAACATAAAATTTACAGTATTGCATTTTATCGACGCAAAACAAAGTCTAAAAATTATAACTTTACTATTGAAATGTTGTTTGACTTAGATCCACTGTCCAAATTTACTCCATGATATAGGTTGTTCAGAAGCTAATGGGAGAAAGTATGTGTCAGATTGCTGATACCTACCGTTTATTCGTATTCATCTTAAAGTTATCTTCTTCTCTAATACCTAGCATGGGGAGGGGACACTGTTGACAGGGATACTGATACTGTTGTCCGCCAAAGGTCTGTTTTGAAAAAGTTCAAATAATCTTATATGCATATTCAGAACATCGCCATTCAGCAGTTATTACGCGTGTGTGAAGATCCGGCGGTGTAGTTCTACGATTGTTTGGCGATCCGGCGATGTAGTACTGGCGCTTCCCAAACAAGCAGCTAGTAGAATCATGCCCTTCTCGTGACAGTGCGAGTGGTCGCCCCACATCCCTACCTTAAATCTGAAAGGCGTGAGTGAACTGAAAAAAAATTAAACAACGGCCTATAATTTCAAAACAATGTCTTAAGGTCCATCGATGTAGTTGTGGTTGTGACGTATGCGTGGCGATCTGGTTGTGATAGTTCTGACGGTAGTAGGTTTAAATAGTTCTGACGATTGAGTGGCGATTTGGTGGTTTAGTTCTGACGATTGAGAGGCGATCTGGTGGTTTAGTTCTGACGATTGAGTAGTGATCTGGTGGTTTAGTTCTGACGATTGAGGGGCGATCCGGCGATGTAGTACTGGCATCAAGCTTATATTACTAGACAAGCTTAACATCCATCGGTGTAGTTGTGACATGTGACGTATGTATGGCAATCTGGTAGTGTAGTTCTGACGCTTGAGTGGTGATCTGGTGGTTTAGTTCTGACGATTGAGGGGCGATCCGGCGATGTATACTTTAGGCTATATACATCGATGTGTAGTACTAGGTTCAAGCTAATACTACTAGACAAGCTTAACATCCATCGATATAGTTGTGGCATATGTGTGGCAATCTGGTGGTTTAGTTCTGACGATTGAGTAGTGATCTGGTGGTTTAGTTCTGACGATTGAGGGGCGATCCGGCGATGTAGTACTGGCATCAAGCTTATATTACTAGACAAGCTTAACATCCATCGGTGTAGTTGTGACGTATGTATGGCAATCTGGTGGTGTAGTTCTGACGCTTGAGTGGTGATCTGGTGGTTTAGTTCTGACAATTGAGGGGTTGATCCGGTGTTTTAGTTCTGACGATTGACTGGAGATTTGATGGTTTAGTTCTGACGTATATGTGGTGATCTGGTGGTTTAGTTCTGACGATTGAGGGGCGATCCGGCGATGTATACTTTAGGTTATATACATCGATGTGTAGTACTAGGTTCAAGCTAATACTACTAGACAAGCTTAACATCCATCGATATAGTTGTGGCATATG